ACCCAGAAAGGAGACAGGAAAGGAGGAAGAGACACTAGAAGACAAGAATAGGTCTGGGGTGAGACTCAGTAGTGTAGATCTTGCTTAGTATGTGTGGGATCCTGGGCTCCATTCCTAAGATGCAAAATTAAATAAAGTAAATTAAAAAATAGACAAATGAATTGTGGTAGCTCATGCCTGTAGTCTTAGTACCAGGACAGGGGGGACTGAGGACTGAGGTGATTTTGAGGTCAGCCTGGGCTGTAACTGTGTTGAGGAAGGAAACTGAGAGTAGGAGGAAACTGGAGAGCCCTTGCTTAGAATCCCCCACTGATGGCTGGAGGTGTGGCTCAGTGGTAGAGCCCCTGCCTAGAAAAACCCAGTGAGGGGCTGTGGGTGTGGAATACTGTTAGAGTGCTTGCCTAACATGCATAATGACCAAGGTTTCATTTCAGCAACAAAGTAGTAATAAGAACAACAATGATAGTAGTATAATAAATACAATAAGAAGACAAGCAAAAGGAGACTGACCCAAAAGAAGAAAAAGGCTGATAGGAAAGATCTGAGAAGCTCAATGAGAGAGAGGAAAGAAAGAGAAAAGTTCCTGCGTTAAGACAGAAACACTGTGTGTGGGCTTAGAGAAAAGGAGAGATTTGGTGGGTTTTGTTTGTTGGCTGGTTAGTTTGGTCCTTTTCACAGGATCTCACTGTGTAGCCCTGGCTGGCCTGGAACTTGCTATGCAGACCAGGCTGGCCTTGAACTCACAGCTAACCTCTGCTTCCAGAGGGCTGGGATTTATGTTTCTGTCATGCTCTGCTGGACAGGATGGATTTGGAGGAGAGAGGGAGGGTGAGAGAGCAAGCACAGAAAGAGGAGCTGTGAGAATCAACAGAGAGAAGATGGGCTGGAGGCTGGGAGAGACAGGCTATATTTAGAGACCGGAAGAGCCAAGCTGGAGAAGTAGCCAGAGTGCTGTCAAGGCCTGAGTCTCCTGGGGTGGGTGAAGGCTGGGCTGTGGCACCCCGCAGCCTGGGAGGCTCCAGGCTGCTTCAATTCCTGTCCCTAGAGACTGCCAAGGACCCTAGACAGAGCCAGGAGCCAGTTAGGGACCTTGACTGCAGTCTCCCTTCCTCTGTCTTCCTGCTGTACACGCCTGCCCTGTGTTAATCTAGAGCAGACGACGGCGGCAGGAGGGGGTGTTTATTTATCTGTGTGTGTGCGTGCCTGTGTGGATGAGCCGCTGTGTAGGAGTGGAGGTTAGAGGTCAACCTGTGGGAGCCGGTTCATTCTCTCCTCCTACCGAGTGGGTTCCAGAGATGGAACCGAGGAACTGCGGTGGTCAGCTTTGCTCATTCACTGAGCCATCTTGCAGGCCCCCTTTTAAGATTTTTATTACCATATGTTAGTTATACACATAGGTTCCATTGGGACATTTTCGTATGTATGTATATACATTTGCATGTACATATAACATATTCTGACTGCATTCACCCTGTCTCCCTGTTCACTGCTGTCCTGGTCCTGACTCATCTTCCTTCCACTTGCCTGCTGTTGTGGATTTCATTCTTGTTTTTTTTTTTTTTTTTTTTGGGGGGGGTTCTAGACAGGGTTTCTCTGTGTAGCCTTGCCTGTCCTGGTCTTGCTTTGTAGAGCAGGCTGGCCTTGAAATCACAGAGATCTGCCTGCCTCTCCCTCCAAAAGTGCTGGGATTACAGGTGTGTGCCACTGTGCCTGGCTGGATTTCTTTCTTGTGATTCAGTGAGTTTCTTTTGTGTTGCCCACAGGATCATGGGGGTAAGGGGTGATTGACAGGCACATGGGTACTTTACAAGTGCCTTCACTCTGAAGAAAATGTCTCTCTTGCCTCCAGAAACCTTTAATGGCCTATGGATTCTCAAGAAGGAGGTGGAGCCTTGTGCCTCCTCCAGACCATCTTTCAGGCTCACCCTCTCTCATCTCTCTCTTCCTGTTTCTCCTTCTCCTCTTCTTCCTCTCCCTCTCCCCTCCTTCCCCCCTCCTACATCTTTCCTCTCTCTCTGAAATAGTGTCTCACTATGGAGCCCAGGCTGGCCTCAAACTCAGGATCTTCCTGCCTTTACCTTCCCCAGTGTTGAGAGGGACCTATCTGCACTCATTCCTCCCCGTTTGTAGTGCTATCTGTCCTGGCACCCCCTCTGTAGACCAGGCTGGCCTCAAACACACAGAGATCCACCTGCCTCTGCCTCCTGAATACTGGAGTTGTCAGAGGGGTAGGGAAAGAACTTGAGACCCATAAAAATAAGAAGGGGAGGGAGGCACACCTTTAACTCCAGTATTCAGGAGGCAGAGGCAGGTGGATCTCTGTGTGTTTGAGGCCAGCCTGGTCTACAGAGGGGGTGCCTCCCTCCCCTTCTTATTTTTATGGGTCTCAAGTTCTTTCCCTACCCCTCTGACAACTCCAGTTCCATCTCCTTCTACCCTCTCCAGCCCAGTGACCTTCATGCCCCCTGAAGCACAGCAGGATCTTCCAGTCCCCATGTCTGTGAGGTGCTCTTCAATCTCAGACGCCCTGCATGCTCCACTTCAGGGACAGATACTTTCCCAGGACCCACAGGCGCCAGGAATGTAGAGCAGAGAGCACAGAGGCCCCCAGGAGCTGGGCGGCAAAGACCCTCCCGCCCCCATTCTCTCTGCTCCCTGATTCTGATGTGGACCTCAGGCCACCCCCTGCCCTTCCTGGGGCCTCTGGGCCTCAGCTTTTCCTCTGCAAAATGGGCAGGCTTGCCTCTGCCCCACTTATCATGCAGGCCCTAGGGGAGCGTGTATTGAGGGGAGATGTAGACACTGAGTTCTCATACTGGGCTCCAAGCCTCCCCATCCTACATTCCTTGGACAGATGTTTCCTGCATCTAGGGTGAAGGAAGATCCCGGAAGTAGAGACTGTAAAACACACACACACACACCACACACACACACACACACACCACACACACACACACACACACACACACACCACAGACACACACACACACACACACACACCACACGCGCGCGCGACTGATATACGGGCTCCTGTAACCATTTTAAGACTGAATGTTAATATGTGGCAGTGGAACTCGCAATGTGCGGACAGGTGACTGTGCGACTGGCTGTGGGGCCTGGGAGGGTCATATATGTGACACACTTAGGCTAGGAGTAGTGACAACCGTAGGTGTAAGCTCAGCTTCTGGGAGCTGGAGGCAAGATGATGACGGGTTCAAGGGCCATATAGCATCCTTTCTCAAAAGAACAACAAAAACAAACAAAAGACGAAGAAAAGAAAAGAAAAGAAAAAATGGCAGGGTTGGCTGCTGGGACATTTCAGCAGTCAAAGGTGCCTGCCCTCAAGCCTGGAAACCTAACTTCCATCCCTGGCACTTACACAGAATGACTGTGGTTTGTGAGTATGGATGGGCCAATGGTATGGTTGTGCGGCTACGTGACGCTGAGTGTGCCAATGGGAGTGTGTACGTTTTGGTGCTCCCTGAGGTCTGCGTGTTGTTGGATGCCGTGTAGACTGCAGGAGATGCTGTGCTGTGTGTCCCAGGTGACAGTGTTTTTTAGTGACACCGTGTGTGTTTCAGCTCCGGCTGTGAGAGGGGACGTCCTGGACATTCATTGCTTGGGCTCCCGCTCTGAGTAATCCTTCAGGTGTTCAGTCCTCCGGAGCATGAAGACCAGGGTCTGACGCAACACACGGTATCAGGTGTGGGAATGTGTGCCAGTGACAGCGTCACTGGGAGCCAAATGTGGCTGCACCTGCCCGTGGGATTGAAATCTGAACCTCAGCACTTGAAAAGTTGAGGCAGGAGGACCCAAGGTTAGAGGGTACCTGGGTTATATAGTGAGATTCTGTTTTATTAAAAAACAAAAACATCCCAAGCGTAGTGGTGCACACCTTTAATCCCAGCACTCAGGAGGCAGAGGCAGGTGGATTTCTGTGAGTTTGAGGCCAGATTGGTCTACAGAGTGAGTTCCAGGACAGCCAGGGCTACACAGAAAAATCTTGTGTTGAAAAACCAAAGCAAAGAAAGTAGACAGCATCGGAGGATGCCATCCGAGGTCGTCCTTACACGCATATACATGTACAAGCACACACATATACACACACCAGACAATGACAACAGGAAGGCTATAGGATGCCAGTTGTGTTTGCCGGCCTGTGAGGTGTCCACAGCCCTGGGCTCACAGCCGCACGTCTCTGTAAGCTATGGTGAAGCTGTGGGTGAAAGGCTGGCTATCTCGTGGCCCCAGCTGTAGAGCAGTGGATGAACCTGCTCCTCATGGACTCTCGCTTCTCCTGCCTGGCGTCTGGGATCCTGTGTGGGGCTGTGGGAGAGGCTGGATGTCACAGCGTGTCCTACGGCTTGGAGGGGGAGGCGACCATACTGCGTGACTCGGAGTGGCTGTGATGGACGTGTCTGCTCCCCAGTTCCCACTCTTCCCCAGAGCTCCCCGCTCCGCTCCTGCTCTCTGTTCCGCCCTGGCCCCGCCCCCTCCCAACACCCCAGGCTGCCAGTGCCTGTCACCTCTCCAGAGCTCAGGCAGGCCAGGCAGGGCAGCTGTGGTGGGAGAAGGAGCTTGCCGCGGGACTGGGAGCACAGGTAAGGGACCCCCATCAGGCCCCCTGTCCTGGGCCTATCGCTTCCTTGTCTGTCTCTCTGCCTCTACCTTTGTCTCTTTCTGTCTCTCTGCCCTGTCGTCTCTTTCTCTTCACCTCTCTCCTAGTTTCTAGGTGGGCTTATTTCTACCCACCCCCCAGGTTCTCCGTCTCCCCCTCCCATTCAGTTCTCTCTGTCTGCAAGCCCACATTTTTGTCTCTGTCTCCTCCACCCCACCCCCCTTTGGACTCTGATCTCTTGCTTGTGCCTGATCGACCCGGACACTTTCTGTTTTCATCCCCTGTATCTCTGACTCCGTGTTTTCCTTTTTGTAGCTCTGAGATTCCCTCTTGAAACTCCGCTTTCACATTGTCTGGGGGCAGAGGTGATAGTTGGGATTAGAAACAATTTCAGAGCATTTAACATCCGAAAGTCAGAAATCCGGGGTCTAATATCTCCCTGGTATTTGGGTGCTGGGAGGACGTTGTTCCTCTGACTCTGGGCTTTATGTATACGAAGCCAGGGAAGTTTTAGAAGATTAGTTTCCTATCTAATTAAAAACAAAAAAAACCCAAAAAACTCTGGGCCGAAGGGATGGAAACTCATATGGTCGTTTCAAGTTCCCTTCGAGGCTTGACTGACGGTTTCTATTCCCCCCTCTCCAAGGAGGTCCTAGATTCCCAAGAGACTCTCCGGTCTAGCCTCTGGGTGACACTGACGCTTCTGCCCGTCACAGCTCTAGGGCAACAGGCCCCTCAGCAAACACCCCTCCCTTCCACCTTGGCTGCCTCAGCAACACTTAGGAGGGCCTGGGAATCGCTTAGCTGATCCTCTGGAGGCCGCGCCTACTCCTGCCCCGCCCCGAATCCTCACGCGCGGAGTGGGGGCGTGGCTTCGCGCGCTCCGTGCTGCTGGCAGGTGAGCGTGGACTGAGGCTGAACGAAGCGCCAGCGTTGACTCTGCCCTGGGACCCGCCCCCCCAGCTGCCTCGGGTCTCCATCCCTCTTCAAAGATGCCCCCGCTGCTGCTGCTGCTGCTGCTTCTGTGGCTGTGGGCCCTGCCCCTCCGCAGGGCAGAGGTGAGGATCCAGAGAGGTACAGGCGGTCCCGGGTGGTTTGAAGCCTTCCGCTTAGGGAGAGTTTTACCGCTGTCCTCCGGGACCTTGCATGAGCTGGACGTTTCTCTTCATCCATTTTTCCTCACCCGTCCTTCCGGTGGTGGTGGGGGGGACCACCCATCCCTTTCCTTTGATGCTCTTGAAGAGTTTGCCATCTCCCGTATTAGATCCCCAGCTCCATCTGAGAGGTTTCTCAGCCCCAGGACTCCGGTGTAAAGACGCTGGACAACCCCAGGTCTCCAGGGTGCTCTTGGCCCTTCCCGGTCAAGCTTGCTGCCTAGGAGGGGGCGTCCCTGGGTAGGGGGGGGTCCTCCCTTCCCTCTTCTCTTAGACAGACTCTCAGGAGCAGACGACCAGGGAACTGTACCGGCGCTGGGAACGCTACCGCCGGGAGTGCCAAGAGACCCTGGAGGCCGCAGACCCTCCCTCAGGTGTGACTGGGGGGCTGGCGGCAGAACCGGAAAACCTGGGCGGTTTCCAGGACCCGGGGTGGGGTTTGGTTTGGGTAAACAGTGAGGACCCGGGTCTGATGAACGTAAGAATCCTGGCATGGTGGCGCACGCCTGTAATGCCAGCACTCTGGGAGGCAGAGGCAAGAGGATCTCTGTGAGTTCGAGGCCAGCCTGGTCTACGAAGAGAGTCCAGGACAGCTAGAGCTACAGTTTCGAAAAAGCAAAAACAAAAAGTAAGGAATGTGACAAACCTTTGTCTACGGCCATACCACCCTGAACGTGCCGAATCTCATCTGATCTGGGAAGCTAAACAGGGTCGGGTCTTGTCAGTACTTGGATGGGAGACCGCTTGGGAATACCGGGTGCTGTTGGCTTTAAAGAACAACAAACCAGAATCCTTAAAGAAAGCAGGGAGGTCGGAAGGGTGGTGGGCGGGGCCTGAGCTACATTGGGAATGTTTTCTCTATGAGATTAATAATATGGGGCTGGGATTTACTTTGTGGGAGGAGCCTGGTGTGGGACTTGGAGGCTTGTGGGTGGGGCCTCGAGGTCTGGTGGGAGGAGCTTGTGCCTGTAAGGAGATACAGCAGCATCCCGGAGGTGTGGAAGGAAGAAAAGGCTCTTCAAATCTCTAGGGTGCTTCTGGCCCTTCCCAGCCTAGCTTGCTGCCTGGGAGGGGGCTTCCCTGAGGAGGGCTCCTCCCTTCCCCCTTTTCTGAGACCGAGTCTGAGGGGCGCGCACCCCTGTCCTCCGGCTCAGGCTCCCTTGCCTTCTCCCTCAGGCCTGGCCTGTAACGGGTCCTTTGATATGTACGTCTGCTGGGACTACACGGAAGCCAACACTACGGCTCGAGCGTCCTGCCCCTGGTATCTGCCCTGGTACCGCCACGGTGAGGCTCTCTCCGCACTCACCCAGCCCCCCTGCTTCAGCCCCCCTTGACTGACCCCGCCTGTCAAGCCAGGTGTCACCCTGTGTCTGTGTCCCCCGGGCACTGTCACGTAATTTGCTTCTCCTGTCTTCATTTATGTGTGGAAGTGTGGAAGGAGCTATGGCAGGGGTGTGTCAGAGGTCAACTTACAGGAATCTTTTCATCCTGTTGGGTCCCGAGGATCAAACTGAGGTCTTCTGGCTTGGCTGCCAGTGCCTCTACCTCCTGAGCCAACTTGGGGCCCCAGGCTGGCCTTGACCTCATGGCACTCCTCCAGCCTTGGTCCTCCAAGCCTCAAGATTAGAGCGGTGAACACCTCTTTCTTTGATCCCCACCCCCTTTCTGCTTCAATAGTGTTTGCAGGCTTTGTCTTCCGCCAGTGTGGCAGCGATGGCCAGTGGGGGCCTTGGAGAGACCACACCCAGTGTGAGAATCCGGAGAGGAATGGGGCGTTTCAGGTGAGAAGAGGAGAGGGATTCAAGGGTATCTGGGGAGGGTTCCAACAAAAGATCTCCCAAGTTCCAAGCCCACCCTGACATCGCTTTGTACTGAGTAGAACTCTAGCTTGTAAGTCATTAAAATCCAGCCCAGGCAGGGCAGTAGTGGTGCACACCTTTAATCCCAGCATTTGGGAGGCAAAGGAAGGTGGTTCCTCGTGAGTTCGAGGCCAGCCTGGTCTACAGAGTGAGTTCCAGCCAAAGCTACACAAAGGAGAAAAAAAAAAGTGTGTGTGTGTGTGTGTGTGTGTTTGTGTGTGTGTTAACATACACATCCAGCCTTGGGGTGAAGGGTGGAGTCAGCCTTAATTAAAGAAGTACAAGTAGGCTGGAGAGATGGCTCAGAGCACTGGCTGGCTGTTCTCCAAAAGTCCTGAGTTCAATTCCCAGCAACCACATCGTAGCTCGCAACCATCTATAAATGCGATCTGGTGTCCCCTTCTGGCCTGCAGGCAGAACACTGTATATATAATAAATAAATAAATCTTAAAAAAAAAAAAAAAAGAAGTACAAGTGGAGCTTCTAGGAGAAAACAGGGGTGCTTTGATGCAAAAGAATATTTTTCCCAGGAGAGACTGGGGTGTGAGGAGAGGGGTGCCCTTCTCTGGACCAGCTGAGAGTCTCATCTCGCCTTTCTTGTCCCCACCAGGACCAAAGGCTGATCCTGGAGCGTCTGCAGGTCGTGTATACAGTCGGCTACTCCCTGTCCCTGGCCACTCTGTTGCTAGCCTTGCTCATCTTAAGTTTGTTCAGGTGCGACTCCCCCAGCTCTGTGTGGGGGGGTGAAGACTGGGCCTCAGTTTGTCCACTAAGATGGAAGATGAGGCGGCTCTAGGGCTGGGGCTGGTTAAAGGGACTCTGGGTGACTGAGGACGGCTCTCCAGTGGCATCCAGCCCTGTTGTCTCTCAAATCCCTCAGGCGGTTGCACTGCACTCGTAATTACATTCACATGAACCTGTTCATATCCTTCATGCTGCGAGCAGCCGCCATCCTCACCAGAGACCGGCTGCTGCCTCCACTGGGCCCCTACACTGGGGACCAGACTCCTACCCTGTGGAACCAGGTAGTCCATCTCCTCCTTCCTGGTGGGACCAGTAGGTTTCCCATCTATTTCCATATCTTTCCTCATCACTATGTACTGAGGGCATGGGGACAGGATGGGGAGAAGAAACCCAAAGGGGAATTTGGAAGAAACCAATTTGTTCCCAGAGACTGGGGATGTGAGCAGAGGACTATAATGCGAGGGTCTTGGGATGGATCTCAGCACTCATTGGAGTCCCTGTTGTTGTTGTTGTTGTTGTTGTTGTTCTTCTTCTTCTTCTTCTTCTTCTTCTTCTTCTTCTTCTTCTTCTG